TTTCATTTCTGATGGTCCCTAAGGAGTCTTGAGGAGTCTCTGGGGGTTTCTGAATCTCAGCATGCTGCATCCAACTGCTGTGGAAGCTCAGATCTGGACTTGGTTTCCTTGTTCTATTAGTGAAAAATAAAAATATCTCCAAAACATTCCCCTACCTTATAACACACACACACTAATGGGGATGTCTTAGCCCATTTGAGCTTCTGTAACATACTATCAACTGAGTAGTTTATAAATAACAGAAATATATTTATCAGAGTTATGAAGGCTGGGAAGTCCGTGATCAAGGCCCRACAGACTCAGTGTCAGATAAGGCCTGCTTCCTGGCTCATAAATGGGCATCTACTCACATGGCAGAAGGGATGAGGGATCCCTGTAGGACCCCTTTTATAACAATATTAATCCTATTTGTGGGGGCAGAACCCATTCAACCAAACCACTTCCCAGAGGCCTTGTTTCCAAATACCACCACACTGGGGATTAGGTTCTGAATTTAGGAGAACTCAGACATTCAATAGATAGCTATCAAGAACAGAAAAAAAGAGGTCTATGACTTTTTATAATTTCTCCAATCTCCATGGATTCTGTCTTCAAAGTTCCCATCGAAGGCTAGTTCATATTCCCAGGATGAGCCTGAAGGAAATCTTGAAAGACATGTTTGAGCCCAAGTCTAAAGRAGTAAAAACGACTCTGCTTGTCCCCTCTACCTTACTTTATAATAAGGTTTTCAAAAGTCGAAATGCTATGCAGGTTTGTTATAACAGTTAATAGCAGACAGAGTTCCTGAACTTTAGGTCCTGGGAATCCCYCTAAGTCTTAGTTCAAAATCTACCTCCCAATGTCCAATGTAGCCTCTTTTTTTAAAACTAGGTACGTTCAGGGTAAACAAATATAATGATAGTTTCCTCTAGTTGGGGTGCCCAGGAAGCCACTGARACCCAGCTTYTCTTTCCACATCCTAGTGAGTTRCTGAACATATTCAGCAARTGCAAATACTTCCAACACACAYMCACACACASACACACACACACACCATTGCCAATATTTCTATTTGAATATGTGTATACAAATGTTCAGATGACACCTGGATATTTGTTGATAGGTAAGAATATTTTCACTTTTGGTATATAGATATGATCCAACAAATAAATAAATAAATACACTTATATGTATATATTTATRTGGATGTATCCACTGATTAATTCACTCATTCATCCATTCAAAAATATATACTAAGTATCCACCATGAGTCAGACTCTGTTCTAATAGCTTTCAATACATTAGTGAGTAAATCCAATAGCCCTGCCCAACTTTAGCAATTGCATCTCAGTAGGAGCAAAAGAAAAAATAAAGCACAATAAATAAGTTAATCAAATGATCTCCTAAAGGTGGAAAGTGCTATCTTGGAGTAAGACAGATCAGGGACATGGATGGCAGCRGGGYGGGGGKGGGGGTTGTGTAGGTTTGATTGAGTGACAATAGTCGTTATATAGATCTCATTGAGAAGCTGGTATTTGAACAGAAACTTAAAGGAAATGGGGAAATAGTATATTTGGGATCTACTGGGAATGGAATGCACCTGACATTTGTGGAACAGCAGGGAATAGCTTGGAGTATAATTATGGAAGATAAGAGTATTAGAGTAGCAGAGAATACAGCTAGAGATGAAGGGGCCCAGATCCTGTGATGCACAGAGATATTGTATGTAGATGCTGTGCATGTGCGCATTAGACACACACTTGGATGTGTTTTTACTTTTAATTTTAAATGTATCTGTAGTCCTACATGTGTTTTCTAGTGTCTAAATATCCATTGTAGACATGTGGGTAAATAATATGTTATATTTGTGTGGCAGCTTGATTGTGTCTCTATATGCTGTACTATGGTATTAGGTGTTCATTCATATATCTATTGTGCAATTGAATGCACATGAGACTTTATGGCTGTGTGTAGCATCTCTTGTGTGTACCTGTGTCCTTTATACTACACTAATATACATGTTTATATCTATTTAAGGCACATGCATGTCTAAATAGCTATTCATCATGTCATATGACAGAGAAGTCTTGGGTGTGTGTATTTATGTGAATTGTCCATGCAATCATGGGCTCTTCTGCAGGCACCTGGCAGGAGGCAGCTGCCCACATCATAGCTCCTGATGATTTTTTTCTCTGAAGAGTAAAACACCCTAAGGCAGAAAGCACTGGTGCTGACAAAACAAGCAAGTGCAGACAGGTTTCAAAGACTATGGGTCTTAAGTCATCAGACACCAAAGCTATGACCATCTGATTCCAGAGAATAGGCAAGGAGGTTGTGACACAGATACAGCATTGGCCTGATTCCGGTGCTCACTCATTTCCCACAGGCACTAGAACTGTCACATCCTACAAGAATGCAATAAGAAGAATAAGAAGAAAACACATCTTGTTTATTTTTTTTCCCCTCAACTTGTTGCAGGCAAATAAATTGCTGATCCATTTGGGTTTTAATTTGAGATTTTATTCTTAAAAAGCTCGGTGTATATAAGGTGAAATGTGAGAACTTCTTCTTCTTCTTTTTTTTTTTTTTTTCATTTTCCATTCTTGCCAAAGTTGTAAACCTAAGGCCAAGTTAATTAAAGTCAATGGAGAATGTATTTTTTTATTAAACTTTTTCTTTCTATTGATTTTTCTCTCTCATACAAATAGTACAGACTTAGTTCTCAAAATCAAAAACACTAGAGCAAGGAAAAGGAATAATCAGACTCCCAAGATGATTTACAAACTCCAGCATAGGATTTCAGAGGTGGCTGAACTGGCAAGATGGTGAGAATCTAGGTCAGCTAAGAACAGACAGACCCAATTCCGTGCCAGCTGAAGTGTGTGAGGCCAGACTCCCAGGTATATTTGGCTTGCACAAGCCATATTGGTTTCTTGAGCTTCTAAACATGTGGACCATTGCAACAGTCTCCCAGTTTTTCTTCCCACTCAAAACATTCCCACTAATCCTTCTCCATTCAGTACCTCAATTCACCTTTAGCTCAAGCAAAAAGTCTGATGATATAATTTGTAGGCTCAAAGTCTTCAATGGCTTCCTCTAACCAAGGGTCAGCAAACTAGAGTCCGCAGGTCAAAACCAAATTGCCACCTATTTTGGTAAAAAAAAGTTTTATTGGCACACAGCCATGCTCATTTGTTCGTGTATCGTCTATGGCTGCATTCCCACTACAACAGCAGAGTCAAAGAGTTGTGGCAGAGACCATCTGGCCTGCTCAGCCTAAAATATTTACTATCTGTCCTTTTATAGAAAGACTGTGTCAATCCCTGCTGTAACCATTAAAAAAAAAAAAAGAAGAAGCATGATCTCAGTCTAGCATTTAAGGCCTTTGAGACAATGACCACAAGCTGGCTTCCCACTGTAATTCCAATACTTCTTAACATTGCCCATGCTAGAGTCAACTGGGACTGGTGGTGTCCCCCAAACACCCATTGGCAGGGTTAGATTGGCCCATGGCCATTTTCTCTTCTTCTGATAACACCCAAGTTTTTCTTTGAGAAACTGCCTCAACCCTCAGTTTTTATGGTTCTAGGGGAGTTAATGCTACTTCCAGTCCCACCTCACCTCCCAGCCCCAGAAAAGAATCCTTGGCAAGATCTGGCAATCTGAACATTCCACTCTATTTATAATAGTCAGTGCCTAAGTCAGCATATGACCAAAGCTCAACCAATAGGGTATAGTTCTGGACTTTTTTTTTTTTTGGAACTATTAGGAATAAGAAACTGTTTCTCCCCTCAACACACACACACACACACACACACACACACACACACACACCAAATTCTTAAATCTATCAACTGTAACTTAGCACTGGGGAAAGTTATTTTGAGAATGAAGCTGATGCAGAGGGAGAGAAACACAGCCAAGACACAGAGATAGAAAAGGACTCCATTTTTTTTATTTGTTCTTTTTAGTTGTACATGTCAGTAAAGTCCATTTGATATGATTATACAGGCATGGAATATGTTTTATTATTCTAATTAAGACCCCATTTTTGTGCATGTACCTGATGGTGGGATTCACTGTGTTATATTCATATATGTACATAGGAAAGTTATGTCAAGATTCACTCCTCTGTCTTTCCTTTTCCTGTGTCACCTCCCTTCCCTTCATTCCTGTTGTCTAATCCACTGAACTTTTCTTCTTYCCCTCTGACCCTCTTGTTTTGGGTTAACATCACATATCAGAGGGAACCTTCAACCTTTGGTTGGGGGAATTGACTTATTTCATTTAGAGTGAGAGTCTCCAGATCTATCCATTTAACAGCAAATGTCCATTTTTAACAGCCTGTCTTCAGGTACCAGGTCCTAGCCATACCTGAAGCTCCACTGCTTATGCACTCTTCTAGTCAGGTATTTCAACACTGTGACAAAAAGACCTGACAGGAACAACAAAGAGGTGGACAAGCCTATTTTGGCTCACAGTTTCAGAAGTACAGTCCATGGTTGGCTGACCACAGAGCCAGAGGTGAAGCAGAACTTACACAGAACAGCATGGTGGAAGAAAGCAGCCCAGGACATGGCAAAAAGGAGGCAGAGAGATCTCCATACAACAGGGACAAAATACAAACCCCAGAGACATGCCCCCAGTGATCTACTTCCTCTAGCCACACCCTACCAGCCAACAGTTACCACCCAATTAACCCATATCAGTGGACTAATCCCCTGACGAGGTTGACACTCTCATAATCTAATCATTTCGACTCTGAACATTCTTGTGTTATCTCACACATGGGTTTTGGGGGGTACCTCCTATCCAAACCATAGCATGCACTTTCCTTTTACAGGTACCATTAAGGTCCCTTTTTGTTTTCTGAAATGGTTTGAATGAAATTCTGTCACTAGCAATTTAAATAGTCCTGATGCAAACACTCTTCCTGGTTCTCTGCACCTGCATATCTTTTACTCTATCTTCTTGTCCCTTGAACCCTTGAATGCCTTCTTCCTGCTTCTCCTTGACCACATATTTTTATGGAACGTTTCAAAAATGTGCATGTCATCATTGCACAAGGATCCTAGTGATCTTCTCCAATATCATTCCAGTTTTGGTGTATTTGCTGCCAAAGTGAGCACCTGACCACATCTTGTCCAACTTTAAAGGCTTGTCTTAAACCTCATCTGCTCTATGATGCTTCTCCTGACTACTCACTTTTAASCTTCAAATATTTTTTCTGCCTTTCTTATCATCTGAGCTATGCCTTGTACCTTGCACTAAATGCATTAAGATGTGTATTGAATAAACAACCAAATAACTGATATCGAAAGAACATTTTCAATCATATATTTGGGGTGAAGGTGCTGGGGGAATTGGAAGTACTTCGGACTGGAGCATATTTTCATCTAATCTCATAAAATGAATTCTGATTTTTAACGTATTAAGCTTTCAGAAATGTTGCAAAAACAGTTCCTCTATCCTCTTTACACAGGTTTTACTCAATTCCAAACTTTGGTTATATTTGTGCCCTTTTCTCTCTCTCTCTCTCTCTCTCTCTCTCTCTCTCTCTCTCTCTCTCTCTCTCACACACACACACACACACACACACACACATACACACACACTTTCCAATGCATCTCATGGAGAGGAACCTAAATTCATCTATCCACCCCTAGTGATGCCAAACTTTGAGCATCTAGTCAAATTGCTTTTTGCTAGATTTTTTTTTTTATCTCTGTGACTGATTTTATAACAGTCACAAACTAACCAATATACTATACTTCAACAAAACTCTACACACCTACTTTATCACCCATTAATTTCTTTCTGGAGTAACCTTCACCAGGATGGTTGTCAAATGATGATTTTCTATCTTTCTCATCTCTCTACATCTTTTATTGACATTTACTATAAGAAAGACTTAAGACTTCTCTCCCTCTGTCTCTCTCTGTCTCTCCCTCCCTTTCTGCCACCCTGATTTCTTGCCTCGCCTCTTTCTTTTCTCAATATGGACTCAAGGATTACTATTTTATGCAGCAGGAGCTAATCTGTTACGATCATTATTTATTTTAATGCTTAAACTTGCCCAGATTTAGCCAGTAGGAGTCCCTTCAACCTGACTCCTATTTCCTTTTGAATTGTTCCTATATTCTTATAGCACCTTTCCACTTTCTGTTGCCAAAAATATTTGGGGCTCATCTACCACTCCTCCTGCCCCAGCCTTGAAATCAACCCTTTTTCCATGAGGCCTTGGTTCCCTTTAATGGAAAATTCTAGTTTGAAAGCGAGATATGGGAGCTCAGTGTCTACAGTGTTACTAGATAACATTTTTTTCCAGTACCTTTCAGTAGGTGAAGGGCAGGAAGATAGGAGTGTATATAATACACTGACACATAGGCATATACATAGATACAGAATATACATCTATGTTTATTTCTACATATTTGAAATAAACAATGCTATGAGTTTACTTCTGTGTTTCCAATTCCAATCTAACACTTTGGGTTTTCCTTCTGGATTTCCTGTTTCCATGTTTGTAAATCTCTTCTCTATCTTCAATATTGACTCTGATATTTTAACAGATGACAAGGGTCTTTTCTTGCCTTTGCTTTCACTAGAAAGCTGCTAATGTGTTCAAATTGCAGGGACCCGATAAATCAGTGCTGTTCGTTAGTGCCTGGGTCAGGGGTGACCTTGGTTTTGGCAATGAAACAACTAACTAGATAAACTTTAGGAAATCAGGAGGCCAAGTGTGGGTGTCACTGTCTGACTCAGTACATGACAGAAGAACCTCTTCAACTGGCCTTACAGGCTTCTTAAAATGAGGAATGAAAAAATATTCTCAAAGTCTCTCTGAGGTTTTCCAGAGACAGGTGCTATATAAATTCAAATGTAATCATTGTTGCTGTGTGGAAAATTTTTTCTCCATCCATCTTGCAATACAATAGATGAAGACTATTTTTGAGGATCACTGCTGTTCTCAGACTTCCAAACAAGGAAAGCAGCTAAATATTGCATTAGGTGCAACAGCATCAGTCAAAATGAATTACAAACAACCCTCAACTTCCATATTTAAAATTTTTCTTTTACTTAAAAAAAAACAACATGACAGAGGAAACACCCATGAACCTATCTTGCTGCTTGATGCAGGGAATGCTCTCAACTCTGGATCCCGTGGGGCATGCGGTCTAGGGGGAAACAATAAACAACAAGCCCTAAGTGTCCAGGTGGCCTTCATCATAGATTGCTCTGTCTTCTCTTCAGTTTGCAATATCACAGAAAGTGATGCTGTCTCCTGCTAAGTCCCCTCTTTTGGAAGGAAGAAATTGATTAGGTCCTGGAGGTTTCCACAAATGCATCAAGTGACTTTCTCAGCATCACCTGAAACAGTAAGTGAAGAATCAGGACTCAATCGAAGAACGCTACCCTTTCCATTTATCTAACAGCTGCTTCCTCGCCTCTCCATGTAGATTTCGTAGACTATGATTATTCATGGCTGGCTGTATTTCAGTCATTAAACTTAGAGACATATAGAAGATGTGTGTGTGTTTATTTATTTATATTTCAAGGTTAACAGGTTACAAAAACAGGTTGTAAAACCTGTTTCAAGCCCTGCTAGGATCCTACAGAATAGCCAAGCTAGAAGAACCTTTGGAAATCTTCTTGTCTAAGTGCTGAGTTTTACAGTTGAGAATATTTTATACATGAAATTTGTCCAAAACAAGTYCCACTCTTCCATGTTTATCTCCTCTCTCTTGTTATTTGTCACCCTGCATTGAGAAGGTATACCTTGATTAAGGTTCAGTTCTGGATTTACCTTTCTTCCAGATAATTTTTAACCAAGAGAAGGTGACATACTAACCTTTCCTTTCACTCAGTCCCACACTGCATGCTTGGCATAGTGGAAAGGGCACTATGATGACTGTAATCCTGGCACTGCCAACAACCAGCTGGGTAACCTGTAGTAGTGACATCATGATCTCATTTGAATATGCATACAGGAGTCATTGAAATATGAGTATTTGGATATGCATGTGTTACCTCTCCCTCTAGGTTCCTTGATGGTTGAGTTTTTATCTGACTCACACAGAAACCAGTAACTTACAAGGAATTAATGAACTTTGATTGAATAAATAACATTGCTTAAATAGTCAGGCTACCTTTGTTATATAAACGGTTGTGTTGATTTTACATCAATGAAATCAAGAGGCATTTTTGTTAAGTGTTTTTATAAAACAGCTGATGATATAGTTAAAAAAAATCTACATCAGTAATCCCAAATGCTGGTCCTTGGACCAAAAATATAGAAAAGCCTGGTACCCACCTTCCCAATATTCTGACTCGGTAGATTTTGGTGGGGATGGAGGAGACTCCAAAATTTATACTATTTAATGTATTTACAAGTGATTATAATGTTCAACCAAAATGGGAACGTTTAAGTTTACATTACTTCTGATAGCAACCTCAAGGTTTCCTCTCCCAAATGAATGATTAACTTCATTGAACAACCATAGAGCCTGAGAGGTTTTTTTCTTTTTTTCTTTCTTTTTTTTTTTTTTCATCACAATCAATGTTTTCTTTCCACATCAAAGATCCAGCTGTTAAGAGAGAGCATTTGAGAAGAACAATGTTCTGAGTGACAAGATAGATTCTAGGATAAACTTAACCAAATATGTGCCAATTTGAATAGCCTACTTTACCTCTCTGGGTTTTAATTTTCCTGTCTTTAAAACGAGGTCAATTATAACAGCAGCAAGAAGCTAATTTGGAGATTTTGAGGTTGACTTGGCTATTCAGCATCATCCCACTGAAATGTTTCTTGATTTTGCTAAATACAAGTCTATCATAAGCAAAAAACATTTTGAGGGTATCTTGAAAGCAGGTTTCGAAAATACTGTCTTTAGCCGTGTCTTCTAACATTGTTTGGAGGCAGAATCAACAGCTTTGTGTAAACTAAGCTGTAGGCCAAAGAATTCCAAAAGCTCACCCTGGCATCCCTTTATGGCTCAGGGATTGGGAAACTACTCATGGAAAYTCAACTCACACTACCTCTGTGAGCCAAAAGCCTTTGGTTGCAAGCAACAGAAACATAACTCAATTTTTTAGACTAAAAGGAATTAGCAGACTTGCAGCTGAACTTTGAAAATAGCTGATATTAGAGACTGGAATGTTGCAGGAACTCTGCTGCTCCCTGCATGTCACCTCCGTGTGCTCAACCTCGCTTCCTCCAGGCAGCAGGGGACATGGCCGTCCCTTACATTTTCATCTTCATCTTTGTCACCAGGGTGGCGCTGCCCTTTGTCTTGTTACAATTTGGAAATTCTAGGGGAAGGACTCTGGCCTGGCTTGGGTCACATCCACACCCTGAATGGACCATTCATGATAAAGAAGTACTCTTATTGGTAGAAMCTATTCATATCACATTTGAGTAAGAGGAAGAACTATTTCCCACTTCCCCAAAGGGTAGGACACTCCTGGGAAAACAGTGCCCAGCAAGGCCCGTGAGTGCCCACTTGCACCGTCCCATAGGCATTAGGCAGAAGGTATAAGAAAAGGCTTGTGGATTAGCCAACTACATGGGATGTTATGCAACAAAACACATTTTAGTTCTGCCATGAGATAGCTGTGTGGCATTGGCCCACATCATTCATCTCTGTGCATTTTGACTACTTACATGGTGACTCTCTTTTCCATCTGACTTGGACTCGTTGAGACTGGACAGCAGATATTTCTCATATTTACAYCTGCAGGACTTAGTTCAAAGTTTGGCTCTTCATAGGGACTCAAAATTGTGTTGTTGCTGTTATTTTAAATCAATATTCAAGCAAAGCTTTATTTTAATTAAATCTGATTTTTGCACATATTAATTATACACACTAAAGAAATTCTCTGTGATATTTTCATACATGTATTAAGTATGTATTGATCTATCCAACCACCCTCCTTCTCCCCTTCATTCCTCCCCCAACACTTCCCAGTCCTTAGCAATCGCTCTTGACCCAAGCAAAGTTTTAGTGCTTATTACTGAGATATTAATAACAAACTTTTTAATGAAAAAAAGAAGGTAAAAAGAATAAATAAACAAAAAAGAAAAATAAAGCCAAATGCATACCATGTTTGTTAGAAAACAGTAATGGCA